TGTCCAGCCCTGGGCTTGCAGCCTTCAATTTCTCTGATTATTTGACTTTGACTTGTGCAGTTCACGTCTGGCTGCTTCTGTGTGCCGGTACCCTCCAACCGTGCCACGCTGCCTGGTGTCTGCTTCAAAGAAGTGCTGACACCTCATGGTGAACTTTCCAAAATCCCTCGGAAAGGCTCTGGCTACAGGCTCCTGCCATCCCTATTCCTCTTCAGGCTGAGCGAGAGATGAGGGGAGAGGGTTTGTCAGAATAAATGGCATCGTCAGGATGTTTTCCTGATGCTTCAGGTAAACGATGTGATGGCACTAGGGAATACGAAACGGAACATCTCCCCCCGCCCCCCTGAAATCCCAATTAAAATGTGCGTCTTCTAAGACGCCTTTGCAGGCTGAAATGATGGATTTGCTTTTCCCCAGCCTTGGGTGGAGTTCAGCGAGTCTCGTAAAGCCACCCAGAAATCCCATTTTTTTCATGTGAAGTGATTATGACACAGAACTAATAGTCTACTTGTGACATGATGTCACCACCCGAGAGTTATGAGTTCAGCCTGAAGAGGTGCAGATGAGCTATTAAGCAGATAAAGAGACTGTTTTTTCTTGAAAATGTCAATTGCTAATAAAGAAGATATGGATATGACAGATGCTTAGGATAGTTTCTGAATAGAGCCGCTGTCGTGCTTTCTGAGAGATGTCAGCAGATCCGTTCTTGAAGGGCATTGTAACGCTTCTGTTTGTGCCAGAAGGATGAAGGATCTGTCATTATTTCTGGTTAAAGGCTCATTTTACTGGAGTGACTCCCATTCAAGAATTCACTTTTCAGCCTTGCTAATTTTAAAATGGGAGAATAAAAAATAGCCTTGCCTTCCCGATCGCACCAGCAAAAAATAGACTCATTCTTTTGGTGTATTTCTTTAACTCCCTGAGATTTCCCCAAAAGAATTGGCTGAGATTTTTAAAACTGCTGAGAGAGGACCTCTTGCGCTAAGGGAATCTGAAGGAGTTTTACTGTACGCGTCTTCGGAGGCTGTCATATTAGCATTATTTTTTGACCGTAGCATTATTTTCACTGATAAGAAGCACAGGAGCGCTGATATCTTGGAATATCTGGAGAGAGGAAAGTTATAAGCAATTGGGTTGGGTTTTTTTTCTGCGTTATCCTGCAGTGGATCTTTCTTATTTCCCCTCCTGGATGCTTGCAACTGGATTAACCGTCAAGGTAGCATTTTGAGGGGAAAAAAATGGGGAGAGGATACCCAGGTTGTGAAAAAGATGTATATGAGATAGAAGTGGGACTGCATCTGCAGCCAGGCTTCTTCTAGCACTGCTTCCTGGGCAGTGTATTTATAGAAGTCCCAAGACCCCCAAACTTTCAGTAAAAAACTTACAGAAAGGGAAGATGGTTGCCTGACGGTGGTATTTTGGATGCTCAAATACCTCATGAGAGTTGTGAGGCTTTTACAAACCATCTGGATTTGAGGTAGTCGAGATGGCGCCAGGCTCTCTCGGCTCTCTGTGGGTGCAGGGGTGGAGGGATGGGACGGCGAGGACCGAGGTCTTCAGGCAGGGATGTGACTGAGGACGTGGCTGACAGAAGCTATTTCGCCAACACGGCCTTCATGCTGGAGGTGACACGATTCAGTTGTCTAAGGGGCAAAGGAAAATAAGAAGAGAATTATACGTGTCTCTGGGGAGAGCAGCTAAATAAATAAATGAGAGCAGATGGATAGAGACACATGAAATCAAAGCTAGAGTCTCGGGGAAGATCATTTTGCTCGAGTTCTGTCTCCTGCCTCCCAACCCATGTCGTAAGTCCTGGGAGAGCCCCTTGGCAGGTTGGTTTCTTTCTTGAGCCAAGCCAGCCAGCCTTCTTCTGGCCCCTCCAGCAAATTTGGATGCTGTTCCTTCAGCCTTCACACTTGTTGAGGTCCTACTGGGATGGAGCAACGCACACCTGAACCTTGCCCCACGCAGGGGTCCTGTGGGGTTGGGTGGCTTTGGGGAACCTGCCTGCCGTCGCACCCCGGTTGTGTCTTTGTAGAGCTGGGGAAAGGGGTGTCGCGTGGGTCTGGCCCTTAAAACACACTGCGTGGGCTGCCAAGGCCATTAAATAAGAAGGTGTTTTGTAACCAGGCCCACGCGGCCTTTTTAAATGCTGGGTTTTTGGTCTTTCTTTCTTCTGGTGTGTTTTGCACAAACTTAAATGATTGCTTTTTGAAGGAGTTAGATTAAACGATTCAGCAAAGCACTTAAAAATGTATTTGTGTTGCACACAAGACCACGCTTGAAAGCACGCGCTTGATTTTACCTCTGTGTTTAAGTGCCTTTCCAGAGCTAGGCTGGCATTAACATCCCAGACCAGGTACCTAAGCGGGGTGCCTCCGAGGAGAAACCCGTTCCTCTGAGTCCCTCCCTTGCAAACTCCCAGCTGCCGTCCCTCAAATGTGGTCATGGTCTTGCTCCAAGAGGAGCTGGCGGGGGGTGCTGTCTCCCACGGCATTCTCACTGTCTCC